TAATCGCTGGGATTATGTCTTTAGTGTTCGCGCCGCAGACTCAGATCTTGTCAAACGCCGTGTTTTTACCGTTTTTTTTGACAAAGATAGCTTAGTTAAAATGCAAGGTGAAAGTGATTTGCCCAACGAGTCAGACCTCATTGCAGAAATGGATGGTGAACGTGTGCCAACAGACCCTTCACTACAAGGTAAGGCTCCTCCCAACCCACGAGCATTCCCAAGTCAATAAATATTAAAAAATCATGACCTTAAAAATATCTATTGCAGGCGCTGCTGGCAAAATGGGGCATACGCTCATTGAAACGATCTTAGACAATCCTAATTGCCAATTGGCAGGGGCATTTGATTTACCTACTAGTGTTGCCATTGGACAAGATGCTGGTGCGTTTTTAGGTAAAAGTACAGGCATCATTATTACAGACAATATCGAACAAGCCATTGAAAAAAGTGATGTTTTAATTGATTTTACTCGTCCTGAAGGCACCATGACACACGTATCTTTGTGTTTAAAACACAACATCAAACTGGTCATCGGAACCACAGGGTTTTCAGAGTCTCAAAAACAAACGCTTTTGGATGCCAGTCAAAAAATTGCTATCGTCCAATCACCCAATATGAGCGTTGGTGTTAATGCAACATACAAACTCCTTGAAGTGGCTAGCAAAATTTTAAAAGGTCATTACGATATTGAAATTATCGAAGCCCATCATCGCCACAAAGTTGACGCGCCATCAGGAACCGCTTTGCGTATGGGAGAAGTGATTGCAAAAGCCAAAGGTTGGGATTTTGATCAAACTGCGATTTTATCTCGTGAAGGTCATACAGGCCCTCGACCTTCTGAAGGCATTGGGTTCGCAACGGTACGAGGGGGAGATATTATTGGTGATCATACCGTGATGTTCGCGGGAACTGGTGAACGGATTGAAATTTCACACTTTTCCTCGAGTCGCTCTTCCTATGCGAGTGGTGCTTTACTTGCTGCAGAGTTTTTAGCGACTAAAACGCAAGGTTTTTATGATATGCAAGACGTTCTAGGTCTTAACGAAATCAACTAATACTATGAATAATATCAGCCATTTTTGGGAACAAGCCGATGCAGTGTCACATGCGGTTGCATATTTATTGTTATTGATGTCTATCATCTCATGGGTTTGCATTATTCTTAAAGCCATTCAACTCACCAAAGCTCGTGGGCAAGCCAAAAGCGGTCTGACAAGCTTTTGGGCTTCACCGAATCTTGAGGATGCTGCACAAACCTTACAAGCACAAAATAATGCTCTCATCGGTCATTTTGCGCAAACCGTTGTAGAAACTCGTGATGATCGCAGCAAACACCTTGACGGACAAGCCGATATGAGCGCGCGTTTAACCAAAAATCTGCGTGCAACGCTTCAAGCTGCGACGCATCAACTTGAAACAGGGCAAGTCGTCTTGGCGACGATTGGTTCAACAGCGCCTTTTGTGGGTTTATTTGGAACGGTTTGGGGCATTTTTCATGCTTTGACCAAAATTGCCAATACAGGCTCTGTTGCCATCGATCAAATTGCAGGTCCAGTTGGCGAAGCACTGATCATGACCGCATTTGGTTTAGTCGTTGCTGTACCTGCGGTGATTGCTTACAATTTTTTTGGTCGGTTTATTCGCACCATCAATAAAATTCTTGAGGCATTTGCGGCAGATCTTCTTCATTATTTTGGTAAAAATTAATTATTATGGCTTTTAATAACGAGTTTGGCCAAGGCAGTCAAGAACCCATGGCCGATATCAATATGACTCCCCTGATTGATGTGATGTTAGTTTTGCTGGTAATTTTTATTATTACCGCACCACTCATGAACCAAGCCATTCCACTCAAACTACCCAAAGCGCAAGCATCAGCCGTAGATGGCGAAAGCAAAAAAATTCAAATTGCCATTGATGCCAACAATCAAATCTACTGGCAAAAAAAACCCGTTGATTTAACCACCCTTTCTGACCATTTTAAAGAAATCAGCAGCACAATTAATCCAGACGATCAACCCGAGATTCATCTTCGTGCCGATGAAGCATCGCAATACAAAACTATCGCACAGGTCATGTCTGCTGCACATGTTGCAGGACTAGAAAAAATTGGATTTGTCACTGAAAGCCCGACAGCAGGCACACCCAGCACGGTCAATCAGTCCAAGGTCACTCCAGCAGCTCAACCAACCACCCCTGTTGACGCTAACACCCCTTAACCATTTTCATGTCTGACGCACCTCATCGACTTGATTTACAAGTTCAATTTGTCCTAGTGCATCCCAGTTTACCGAGTAATATTGGTAGCGTAGCACGAGCGATGAAAGTCATGGGATTTTCCAAACTGATCATTGTCGATCCTATCGTCGACAACTGTACAACACATCCCGATGCTATTGCTTTAGCTAGTGGAGCGCAAGATGTTCTCTCACAAGCGCAAATCACCCAAGACCTTGTTACCGCCTTAGATCAAAGCCATATCACCATCGCATTAACGGCTAGACCACGTAATTTAGACCATCGCTCGTTAACGCCCCAACAAGTTAGCCAACTGATACAAAACACACCTCAACATCAATTCGCCCTACTCTTTGGTAATGAACGTACTGGATTGGAAAATCATGTTGCGGCTCAGTGTGACTTTCTTTGCCATGTTCATACCAATCCTGATTACAGTTCATTAAACTTAGCTCAAGCCGTACAAATCATGAGCTATGAACTAAGCCTTAAACGCGGCAATACCGATACATCAACAACGCATTATCCAATCTCCCCAATCGGACGCTTACATTCCGAACCAGCAACTTTTAGCCAAATTTCAGGATTAGAACAACATTGGTTAGAACTTCTCACGGCTATCGATTTTTTTGATCCGCAATCTCCAAAACGTCTTCCAGAAAGATTATCTCGCATCGTTCGCAAAGCAGCGTTAGAAACTACTGAAGTCAACATTCTTAGAGGTATTGCTAAAGCGATACAAAGAAAATCCATTTTTAAATATCAAACCCCATCTAAAAACTGACTTTCTCAATCTGTCATATCTATTGGTCAATCCTCATACAAATAAGCCTTATGTCTCGTCTATTTCTATTATGCGACACAAACACGCGTATTAACCAATTGTTATAACAGTATCAAAAACCCCATCCACATGATTTTAAAAAAGAACCATACAAACATTACATTAATTTTGCTAAATGATCTAAAAAATGTGAATCGATGCATTGTACAGATTATAATAATGTCTCGAATGACAATATTTTATAATTTTAGAGAGGTCTTTATGTCTAATAACGTTTTTCAATCAGCTCTTAGTTCGGTCAAACATTGGTATTTATTGCTAATTGTGGGTCTTATTGCTTTAGCTCTTGGTATTTATATGTTTACTGTTCCTGCGGCAACGTATACAGCTGTTGCCATTGTATTTGCATGGTCG